GACTTTGCCTTTGTACTGAAAAGATTCTTCCACCCTTGCAGATAGACTAATATTCAAAAGGCTTAAGTGATTGGCAGCTTTATGCTTTTTATATAAACTAATCTCCTGACATCTCCTGATTTAAGTACGGTTTTCCCTGGCCTACATCTTCACACTGCTTGCAATATCCTTGCTTGATCTAAGTGAATGCAAAGTGAAGATAATTCAACTTTCTGTTCAGGACAACGGCAACATTTTAGTTATGTTCCTCTTCAGTCTGTTCTGCTGCCAAAAAAGTAAAATTGAAGGTCAAAGAACATGTAGAAAGAATTCTACTTTTTTTTACTTACCTCTTCAGACTTCCTGGAAGTCACCATATCTTGTTGAGATACAGACGTATTAGGCAGAGTGTGGGAAATGGGAATATGCAGGCCACAGAAGGTGCAAAGTGGTAGACCAGAAAAAAAAAATACTTTTTGCACATCCTTTTGCCTTTCTGCAATGTGGTTCTGGAATTTCTCAATGAACTTTGCAAATTTATTCAGTGTTACATCACATAATTAAAATACCTTTTCTTCCAAATTTTCCTCGCAGTGGCAGATCTCAGTCTAGAACTGTGCTCCTTCTCTTTAACCCTACTACATGACTCTTCTATCAACAGTTTTGTCTTTAGCAAATCTGTTTGCTGTATTTATAGATAAAGTAAACCCTAAATGCTGCAAAATACTGAAAAAATTCTAGACCAAAATTTTGAGATACACACAGTTTTTGTGCTATGCTTTAATCTGAGTCAGTCTGATTGTATGTAGATTTTGATGCAGTTTCACTTCTTGCTGATATAGATCATATATTTGTAATCTTAGGTAAAACTAACGGTAAATAATTACAGACTTTTTGAATCAGCAAAATTCTGCTGGATTTAATGCCTCTCATGTCCTCAAGTTTCTCTTCTCCATGATATAAAGATAATATTCTTGTGTGATATCTTGTTTCAGAAAATAGAAGAGTTGAATACTTTATTATATTACAGTTCTGTGATACTTTCACTGTACTATTGAACCAATCATATTCACCACCAGTATTCATTTTATATGAAAAACTGAAATGTCCCATGAGTAAGTTCTGAGACCTTTTATGTGGTTACTGTTGCTACGGAAACCACATCCTTGATATCCATGTGTCCAACATGTCAGTCTCATTTTGCATCTAGCTATCCATGAGCCAACACTGCAGTATGGAGTAAAAAAAAAAAAAAAAACAAAACACCAAAACTAAAAAAAGAGAGAGAGAGAGGTGAAATACAAAAAAAAAAAAAAGCTGAAAACTGTTTTCTATAAAAATGTATTTGCATACCTTGGAGTTAATTCTGAGTCCTTCCATGTTACGTCTGCCTTGGTTTTGATAGACAATAGTTGCTTGCAATAGACCGAAAAACAGTCTGTATAAGATGCAATAAAGGTTTCTCATAAAACAGCAAACTATATTCTGTGCTAATCATCATCAGGCAGGAAGTTGGTCCTTTCTGAAGTTCCAGTGAGGAAGATCAAGTCCAAATAGCCATTCTTGAAAATATATTTTATACAATATTCTACAGCACCAAAAATAAATGATTGGCACTACAACAGAAACACAATGCTTTCTTTCATTTTAAATCCTTAATGAACTTTAAACAAACTTTTTTTTTAATGAATTTATATACTCATCATCATATTTACTAAACTTATAATGCAGCATGCTGAATTTTAATATGTTGTAGAAACTTTTTATCTGAAAGTCTAATAGTGTTGTTCTCATGACAGCCTAAATGATTTGGAAGCATAAGACCACTTAGTCTCTCAGAGGGCCAAGATGCAGATTTTTGGGTATGCTGCTCCTTGAAATTCCAAGAGCACTGGGTGACTAATAGGCATTTACACTTCAAAAATCTCATTATTTTTTCAGATGTACCTACACTGACCAATGTGTCAAAGCAGTGTGTCAAAGACAACAGAAGCAGCTCTAAAGAATCTACTATATCTAAAAGCACAGTTAGGTGCTATGAAGGAATACAGCATAGCTGTGTCTGTCTAGCCTATCCCTATGCCTAGCACAATTCCTTTCTGAAGCAGTGTCATTATTTAAAAAAAAAAATATATATAAAATATAAAAAATTTTTGGCCTGTATTGCCTACTTTTATTATCCTATGCTGTTTGGCTCTTTAGGGTCAAATATTGAGTAAGATCTGTGTTGTGCCAGTTTTCAGTTGGATTGTTAGTATGGGTACATGCTTCAAATACTCATTTAGGGTCAGAGCACTGTAGGAAAATTCAGTTTGGAAGAGACCTCAGGAGGGTTCTAGCCCAACCTATAGCTCACAGCAGGGCCAACTCTGATGTCAAGTGAGGTTGCTCAAGGCTGGTTGTGTCTCACCATATCATGAAAACGTCCAAGGATGGAGCTTGGAGGCTGCTTTCCAGGCAGCTTATTTTATTACTTTACTGTATTCATGGTGAAAATGCTTTTCCTTATCTCTTCTTTTGTTCCAGTTTAGGTCCTTGCCTCTCATCTTCCAATCAATGTGCTACTGTGAAGAACCTGGATTAGTCTTCTTGATTACTACCCAATAGGTACACCATGGGCTGCTGGTAGGGCTGCTGAAACTACGTATTCCCCACAATGGACAAGTTGAGCTCTCTTAGTTGTTTTGCATGGGACAAGTACTCCAGAACCTTAATGTCTTTCCTGTGCTGTGGGGCCCAAAACTGCACACACTGCTCTATGTGGCTGAAATATTTTTAAGTGGTTACACAAATCTTAGGATTAAGAAATTAATAACCAAAAATCGCAGTAGAATTTCTCTCTCATTCTTTCACTCTTATGTGGTGTTGTAGGTCTGCCTAAGCATTAATTTAGGGATCAGAAAAAATTCCTTCTCTATTACTGCTAGCTGGTCTGAAGTGACATGGAAAAAAGAAGATCTGGAATCCATCTGTGGTAACCTTCTTTGTGTGAAAATGGCATAAGAATGCAAATTTAAGCTGAAAACTAAAGGGGTAGCTCACAGAGACTGATCACAGGTCTACCAAGGCAGGAACTTCTAATCTGGCACCAGACTCCAAACAAATGCTTGGCATATTGCCATTAGCTGTAGTTTACTATGCCCCTCCTTCAGTGGTAAACTAATGAAACTACGGCCCATCGATTAAATCTCTCTCTATGGCTCTTGTTCATTCATCTGCATATCCTGTTCAACCCTTTCCTAGGATGTGCAGTTAGCCTGAGTGCTAGCAGGCTCTGAAGCCTAAGACATTAAACATGAATGTTATACATGTAAACAAATAACAAAAAAAGGAACAATAGGTAAAATAACAGCAGAGAACTGAATGTACTAATGTCAAAGTATTGACAGGAGGTCAGACTAAATAAATATGGAAATAATATGACTGTATGGAAAATTGCATAGTTATTAATTTCTTAAATTTGGAGAGCTTTGGTTTTTGATTCTTATACCATTTGCTAGGTCATGTAGCACTATTTTCGGAAGCAAACTAGTGTACTCTTGATTTGGTTAAATATAGTAATTCCTAGGTTCCTATGTGAGGTGGTTGCCCAATACACCTCTCCTAAAAGTTTGCGTGCTTTAATTGGTTAGTGTCTGTCCATACTTCAAGAGCATACATTTATCAGTGTTAAAATACAGTTTCTTTCCCTGCTGCACAACGAGGTGCACAGTGGTGCTTTACTATGTGACTAGGACTCCTGGGCATTATGACATTATAAATTATAGACCACAATAGAAAATGCTTTAATGGTACACTTTGCATAATCTTAGTTAAGTGAACATGAATTGGAATAGCTTTTAATTTTACAAGCATAGCCTTTGTTGACATGATCTCTATTGTATGAGTCATTTAGTTATGCAATGTTTCAGTTAACTTGTTTCTTTTTTTCCCTCTCAACACCTTCAGAATGCATTCTCCTCCCAAGATTTTTTGAAAACTTGTTTTCTCTTTTCAACATGTATTTATGTGAAACCTTTTTCCATCATACTTATGCAGGGGTTATATCTGAAGTGAATGATGTCAGCATATTCCCGGAGATTAGTACAACCTTCAAACTAAAGCAACTGCAAATGCTTAGCCCCAAGTTCCTTACAGGTTTTGCATTACTAAAATAGATTGTACAGGAACAAGGACTGTTGAATAAGGAGTGGAGAAAGGTCTCCAGTGTCAGAAAAATGTTAATACATGGCCAAATGGTCAAAAAATGGATTATATTATAGTAGCAGAAAAGTTGTTTTCCATTACAAACACAGAAAGGTTAGGAAAATAAATTCATCTGCTTTTAGAGTCTTGGAAACTATGTGCTAAGACTAAACTGTTTCTCTTTTTTGAGTTTGCCTTGAAATGCTGGATGAACATAAAGATCTCTTATCCTATATGTAAGATGTTGGAAAATGTCCTCTAGAGAAAAAATGACATGGTATGGCAAACAGATGAGTAATAACTTAATGTTTTCATCTCAGCTGATGTTTCTTGCATAGGTTCCTATATCACCAAAGGTTTCATTATGAATATGAGACTTGGATGAAGCATTTCAACAGTATCTATTTACAAACACCATGTTTCCTTTCATATTTTATGTTAAAACTACAGATTTCCTTTGCTTCTCAGAAAATCCATAAAATAACCACAGACCTTGCACCATTAAGTAAATCCTTTTTGAGAGTTAAATGTGAATATTTTTTTCCCACAGTTTTAAGTGAAACTAAAACCCACGTCCCATTTTTAAATAAGGTCTTTGTAAGATCTTTGGGATACCTTACAAGTTGTGAAAAAAACTGGGGAGCCAGTGGTTTTGGTTTCATTCCAACTGGAATGCCTAGTGACCATCTGCCAATTGAATTCAATCCAGCACTCCTCCAGTAGTAAAATAATCAATAGCAGTAGAAGTAATAGCTGAGTATCAAATTGAATAATGGCTTGTAGTCTAACCTGATGACATCAGTATTCAATAATTCTTGAACCTTTCAACTCAGACTGAAGTTTTCAAACTTCTACTTTTGGCCAATATGCGTTGGGCTTTTTTTCAGGTTTTTTTTTTATTTGTTTGACTTTGCCTGTAGTTTTTCTTAATTCTTTTCCAAAGTTTGAAGGGGAAAAAATTTAGGTTTTTCAAGTACTGAAAAATTGAGGAAAGACACTCTTGATGGTAAACAATTATCATCACATTTTTTTATAATCATTCTACAGCCAAAACAGCTGGGGATGAAAGTTTAAATTTGGCAGGAAAACAGCACTAAGGAGAAGTGCTTTTGAGTGTTCTGGAGAAAATTGGTTTCAATGTGATTTAGTTATAGACTTTTGAAACTCCATGTACTGAGCATGTAACACTAGTTTCTCATTAAGTTTCACAGGTACATTCTTCAATGGACAATTACATTAGTTTAGATGCAAAAGTTTCACCTCAGGACATATTTACTTTACATAATCTCACAGAAAACCTCTCAGCCCTCTGCAGTGGGGTATTCTCCAGAAATATATATTCACGTCAGATAAATGTGATTCTTTATTCCAGAATGAAAATAAAATAATCCAGAGGCCAAAATATTGCTGCTAATTCATGTTATGATTTCAAGTTGACTGTAATGCGTTACTTTTGTGCCTATTATTCGGACAATAAAATAGTGTGCTTCACTTCTTTATTTGGGGTTTCAATCTTCTGAAAAGCTATAGGTTTCAGCCATGCAGTTTATGCTTTGAAAGTTGAATTATTTTTGTCTTTTAAGACATATCATTCTCTGACTCCTGAAGTGTTCTCTTACATAAAACAGATTGCTTGAAGGCACACAGATGACTTTAAATATTTCTGCACTTCACAGTGAATTGCTCATTCACCTGAGTGTTTAACTATGTCAGTGTATTCAACATTATCATATTTAATTGGATGGTTCAACAAGATAATATGCCAGTGCACACAGAATTCAATGTATTATTGGCTCACAATAAATAAGGCAACTCTCAAATAAAACACAGGGGATTTAGAAAGAAAAAATTATGTATAATTGAGAGAAACATGAATGCATTGATGGTTTGCTAAAGGCTGATAACTTATCAATTCTTACAAATTTGAAAATCTGTAAATTTGTAAAAATAGGGCCATGAAAGAGAATGCATTTAAATACCATAATTAGGACAGACAACTGCAGTCTCCATCGTTGGTGATCCATTTCATACCCTGAGTTACATATGCAGAATATTTAAACTGACTCATTTGTTCTCTAAAGGTCCAAAGTTTTATATTTTAAAGCCATTGGTCTCACTTCTTAAAGGGCCTCCTTGAAGGAGGATGCTGGTGCCAGCAATGCAGCTATTTTCTGTTTTCCGAAGCAATCTGCAGTCATTGATTGCCCTGATGTAAGACCAATGTTGAGCCAAAACCAAGAAAAAGGGATGCTAAGAAATTATGCTAACAGAAACAATTCCTCATCACTCTGTGAAACTTTTGCAAAAATAGGCTATATCAACATTACTCAAAGATATCAGTAGATCCATGGAAAATAAAGCATAGTCCGTCATAGTCTTTAGGCAAATAAAACTTTGCTTAGACTATACAAAATCAGGTTCTTTAACTTAGATGAGCAGTAAAACTGTAACCAGGATGTTTAAGAAATTATTCCCTTTTCCATCCTTTCTACTGCACAAATTGATCATGTTCATTCTCAGTTAAAAAAAAAGGCTGGGGAAGAAGAATTTTTCAGCTAAACACTAAGCTATCCTGAAATCAGAGATGCTGCTTTTTGTCCTTGAGGTAGAGTTTTAGGTGTCTCATTCTGCTTATCATCCACTACTCAAACTCCCCAGAAACATTATTGCTGCAGTGATGCACTAGGATTTTTTTCCTTAATAGGTTGCTGAAATGAGTAAACAGCATCTGCATCAGGTGTATTATCAGAGTTGTGGAGATATGAAAGTCCAAAGCGTGAGTAAAGTGTCCACAAAAATACTGCAATGGTATCACATGCATAAAGTACCAGGTATGTGTATTTGATTTTCTGGCACAAAAAAGATTGGGGGTTTTTTGGAAAATAGTTTTTTTGAAAGCCTTTTTTTGTCTCAAAAGACAACTGATACAAAATTCACAATAAGAGCCAAAAATAAGACATATAATGTAATAAAATTGAGTATATGCCTATAAAAGCTCAGGGTTGCAGCCACAGATAAGTGTACAGTGATGTTCATGTCATACTTTTTCCTCTATAAAGTGTTCATTTTATATCATTGTTTTTTGAATAGAAGATGATTTAAAAATAAAAATTTATTGCATATACAGACTAGAATAAGACACACTAGGACATGAATTGGTAGACTGTTAATATACATCTTAGTCAGTCAAAGGCTCAATAATTAAATGTATGTGAGTTGTGTAGCATAGGATACTGATGGGCACTGAGCTTACTGCTCTGTTCTCTGTACACTTTGGGTGCCACATGTAAACAAGTCTACTGCAGACATGAGTGTTTATTTATATACTATGCCATGTCATCTATGTCAGATATGCTGTGAATTCTCTCTGTATACATACATACATGTAGGTATGTTCACAGAGGAATATTTCAGCTCTTAAGACTTGCTGGAACATTTCAAATGAAACCACTTCTCACTATTTATCAGCAAACTTTATTGATCTCTACAAAATATTTACTGATGTTTAGATTTGCCTTTTACACTATATGTCATGGACAAGTTTCTTCAAACAGTGTATTTAACATAGTCACATTCAGCATCTTGCTACTGAAGTTCACCCTAATTCCATTTTGTTTCATTCGGTCAGAATGTTGAATCGACTTACCTTTTCAGGTTTGACCACATCATATCTACTTCTGTTTAATGAGTTCATTTTGTGCAACTGCATCTGAAATTCTATGCAACAGAGAAATATTCTGGAGACATTTTTTTCCTACTTCACCCAAGAAAAAGAAGCAATTGTTGCATTGCTATATTCTAGGTTAAGCTACACATCTATACAATTCTAAAGTTTTTTTCTTTTTATATTTTTTTTCACCAGAAGACATTGGAAGGAAATTTCTAACCATCAAAGAAGCAAGATTTTGAAACAGCTTTTTGAGGGGACAAGGAAAAAAACTAGTCACCTTTAAAAAAGACTCATAATTAGCCTAAATAAAGGAGTATTAATCTTGCAATAAAAGAAGACAAAATGCATTGACATAAGGACTTCTTTTATACATGTTCCTGCTGTGGCTCATCTAATAGTCATGTATTAAGGTTTCTATCACGCTCAAAATTCAATTACAAAACATGTATCTTTATGATACAGTTTTTCTAAAACAGGTACCTTTAGCACTTACATGTTCTATTGGTAATTTATCTGTAAACCATGAAAACCTTTACCCTCTTTTCCATCATTTTCGTCTAATCTCCCTATCTTTATCTGTTTAAATAAGTAATTTCATACATATTTGAAATATATATAGGTATGGATACTGTATTGGTTAGAATCATGACTCAAAAGTTTTCAGTAATAGATCCAAAATTATATAGTACCCTGTCCCAATCAAGTTAAATCCTGATATAAAGGCTATCTTCTGCTTTTCTATCTGACTTATTATTAGTCACTTGTATCATCATTTAGAATATGCAAAAATTAGCAGTGAGAATTCAGTTCAGTTACTTAGATTATCATTAACTAGTCAGATGGATACATGACTAAAAATCTGTCATAGTCATTTTAACCCATAAATTTCTCAGTTTTTCATTCATCTGATATAAGTAGTCTGGGAGATCTAGGAGGTGATTTGGAGATACCATGTAAAAAAATATAAATCTTCATATTATGTCATAGTGTTCACAACCTCTTTATCAGCATATTTCAAATAATCCTCTACCCTAAGGTCTTAAAAATAGATTAAAAAACTTTTGGGGAGGATTGGGATAAGTAGAATTTTAGCTTAGAAGATCAGCTGATGAGGTTTTTTTCTTCTTTAGCAGCTACAGCCCTTCTAGATTGAAAACTGAGATATTGGAAAAAAATGGGATATATGGAAGCAGCATTTTGCCTGTTCTTTCCCAAAATGCTGTCCTGGGTATGTCTGAAACATGTTTGGGTCTGTAGCTGAGATCAGAAGATGCACTGAAAGGTGGAAACACTTTATATGTGTTTGTATAGAGGTGTTCCAGGCAGTCCCCACACTGTGGCTCGTTCAAGAAATTAAATAAAAGTAGATGAGAGAAGGAAGGGAGGGTTATAAAATCAACTTCATAATCTAGGATTAGATATGATTGATCATTGTTTTTGGTAGCCCGCTGGGCATTTCTGATGTTTTGTAGTAAATTAATAAATAAACAACGCACTATCTCTCAAACTGAAGTTTGGCAGAAGGCAGTTAGTCTGGATCAATTAATGTCATAAAACGAAACTCATACAGTAATGACACACCTTTTAAAAGAACATTTAGTATGTGTGTCTTAAGCTTTTAAACAAGTCAAGAATTTCTGAGATTAAACAGATCTGATACCACCTTATTTTAATTGAATGCATTATATTTTTAATATACATTATAGATTACAAGTTCGCCGCTACTTAGTTTGCACTGGTTTTGTCTCTGAAACAGGACTTGCAGACTAGCTGTTCTGAGCTACAGCCCAGAGTTGCAGTGAGCAACTACAGTTGCTTAAGTAATTTTTTAAAAACATGTTATATAACAAGTTTATCCTTGACAAGTAAGTAAGAGACATTTAAAGAGGTGAATGAAGTGGTCAAAATAGGTCAAAGTCAGTAACTCCAAAATTATTTTTTCTCCATTACTGAATTGGACACCACCACCAGCCCCGGATGAAAAGCAATTCTAGACCACCTTGGTGTTCATATTTTCCAATATCAATATAAGAAGGGTAGGCAAGGAAAATTGCAGACTGAGTCTTTAGACCAGGCTTCTGCTGGTGCAACATCATGGAATCAGTTGGTGTGAAGACAACAGATCTTGACTCAAAGTAGTATATACAATCTACATTTTCAGTATGCCCAAATAATATGTGGATAGACACAATACACGTACATATACTAACATATTCACTTTAATACAAATAAAGTACATATAGGTTAGACATTTTTAAGATCAAAGATATTTAGAGGTTTATATTAACATACTCATCCTGTTGGGACTATCGGGAGACAGAATTTGAAGTAAAGAGTGCATGCGGAGATTTGGATTCGTGGAAGAAACCCTGCATCCACCATAGAAAATATACATCATTAAGAACTCTGTCACTATGTATTAACAACATGTGGACATCTCCCTTTGATCAGCAGCCTGAGTGCAAATCACCCTCATATCAAGGTTTTAAGCAATGCAAGTCTATGCTCCCTGCCTCTAAAAGAATGTTTCAGTCACTGCAAATTAAATGGAAGACTAAAACTAACTTTTGTGGCTATGCAGTAATAGAAAATCTATTATGTTATTTTACACCTCTGTAGGAGAGGGTGACAAGCCTCAAGTTAAGGAAGGAGCCCAGCGCTTGTACAAAAGGAAGAAGTTTCCCATCTAAAAATGCCTGGCTCTTTAAGATGTGGGTTTCTAGCTTTTGAATGTCATTCCAGCACTGTTGTTCCTCTCTTGCTAGAGGATTGTCAAAGTGATGTCATGAAGAATCATTTCAGTTCTTGAAAAATGTCCTCCCTGTAACATTTTATCTCTTCCAAATGACACTTATTATACCCTAGGAAATGAAGGCTCTTTTGAAATCCTACCTCTTCCAAATCAACACGTGCTATAACCAGAAAAAAAAGAAATTTGAGCGTAAGCCAAAGGAGCAACACTGGAAGGCCAAATCCAATACAATACAACACAAATACAAATCAAATACAATACAAAGCTTGATTAAGTATTTAGTACTTTCCTGAACTTCTTGTCCCCCAGGGCACTTTATGTGTCTTTTCTATTGGTCTCCCATCTTCCAATCTATGTCTTTGTATTTTCTTTTTTCTCCATTACAGATGCCATTACTTATAATGTATGATCTGTATTAACAAATCAACAAAGCAGCCTCTACAGTTAGTACATTTTTCTTTATCTGTTAATCTTTTCAATGGTGTAAGTTATATAGATACTACAAAAACATTTACAGTAGCTCAGGCATTGCAGACACATGCACATAAGTGTATAGAGAGAGCCACACATGCTTGTCAGACATTCAGAAAAATGAGTAATGCAGAGTTATTGTTGCACATCTCATATTGGGCTTCTTATCTGCATTATAACAGCTCAAGAGATATGCCCAAAGATGCTCAGAAACTCAGGCTCCTTTCACATTTTCAGGGCTTGCAGTTTGATGAATTTGCTCTTTTAGTCTCCTGAACTCCTTTGAAAACTGTAACACTAATGTTGTTCAAGCTTTGTATGTCTGAACAAATTTTTTTTCCCACAGGAAGGTCGGACTTAACCCATGAAGTAAATGGAAAATGGAAATTTCCTAAACATGTTTGCCAAGAGTGGCTGTTGAAAGATATTTTAATTAAAAAAATAATCAGGTAGTGGTATTCATCCACCCATATTTGGTACAGTCTGCCCTGGATGACCAATTTAGGTACAAAGGAGATGTTTTAAAGAAATTATATTTTTCAGAAGTTACTATTCTTTTGCTCTCATATGCTGATCATTCACTTTTATTGTGTTGTTGAATTGATTATCTCCAGCTTCTGATATGCTAAAGTATAATACAAATGTATTATTTGCTCTCTAAGATTTTCTAGGTGGGCTTTATCTCATTTAGTTTCAATCATCCCAAAGTTGGTATCTGCTTCCATCAAAGCTCAGAGGATGGCACTCTAACCAGTAGCTTATGGCTATGCACTACAATCCAGCCTACATTGCGTATAGCTGAGGTTAGGGGCGCTGAATCTGCAACTCCACATTATGCAAACAGGACTGTCATGTGGAGATTTGGATATCATTCAATTTTCTTGGCTTAGAAGTATGCAGAAGCAAAAAACCCTACTCATCAGGTTTCCAAACCATGGAGATTATATATTTCATTTCCAGGTTCTAGATTGTTCTCTCTGACACTGGTATATTCCCCCAAAGTCTCAGGTTTCACAAAAAATTAGGTTTTATTCCAAAGTGTGATTTTGTTGTCTATATTAATCATGTTACAAAGCCATTTTATTACTGTCCCAGGATCATTTCCAGCCTATAGACATTACTTCTCGTGGGGATGCCAAGACACTCATACGTTTGTCTTTTATTTCTCACCTGGGTTATTGTAATTCATTACTTGCTGGTTCACTTGTCACTTTTTGTTTTAGTTGCTTACAGCTGGTGCAAAATTTGGCGGCTTGATTGCTTATGAGATTTCTAATTACATTACTGCAATAATGAAATAGTTTCACTAGCCACTTATGAAACAGCAGATTGCTTTTAAGATTTTACTCCTAACAAATAAATACACACAAAAGGCCATTTACTGCTTGCGCCATTATAAAGCGACCATTTCCTTTATTCTGACTGTCTTTTGAATGATGGGACTTTCAGCTCTTCAATTGTTGTTGTTCTATATATCTGTAACACTTAGATTTCACAGCGTCCTTATTAGCTAAGTATTACTTTCTCAATTTTTATGACCTATTTCTTTTCCCTATTCCTGGTGATTTATTCTAAAACTTATCTGGTACAAAAAAAAAAATATATGTCCATATATTCACTGATATCAGACAGTGGAACATTATTTTGATTGAGTACTAAAGCCTTTTCAACTCTGCCATTTCAAGATGGCAAAGGTAGTGATGTGGTCTGTAGCCTATCACTTGTCCTGAAAAGGGTTTCTAACAAAGCAAGGCTGAAATAAAACAGCACTGAAAACTGAAAAAAACCAACCAACCAAACAAAAAAACAAACAAGCAAACAAAAAAACCCCACCAAAACCAACCAAAAAACAAACAACCATTTGAAACAAAATTAAAGAACATCTGATTAGAATTTAAGATTATTTTCCCTGAGTTTTCAGGTTCATTTGAACTAAAACTTACAGTAAAGGGCAGACTACAGTTACCAAAAAAACCCAATAAATAATGCAGTTCCTAGGTTCATTTACAAATGAAACCTTGAAGAAACCTCTATGTAAGCACAGCAGCAATGCTTTATTTCATTTGCTTACAAACAGCTCCCTGCAATATTTAACTAGCCAGTAATTAATAAGATCAGCTGT